CAGACCACTGGAGACTAAATAGAAATGAAAGGAAACAGAACGCCGTTTGCAAATACTTATCATTGCTGGCTCGATCTTGCTCCAAGAGAAATAAAGAATAAACGTTAGAATAGAAAGTTCGGTATTAAAAATGCTCATTACTCAGCACTTCTCGTGCCTGAGGTAAACGCAGTTATGAAAGTGCAGCCCATGAAACTAGTCTCACGAGTAAAGGTCGTTTTCCTAAGCGGGTCTTTCGTCCTGGGGGAAGAACAGAAAAGTAAAAACAAGCTTCTAAAGATAATATTTTATCCTTAGCACTTTCCAAACGTGGACGAGATGCGCCGATTTAAAACTTGCCGTTATTCCCTTCACACTACAAGCAAACAAACTCCGTGGTTTTAGTCCGCAAGCGAACTATACCGACCGAGCGACCTCCGCTTGTCGGCGAAGTTAGTACCAACTATACCGGATAGAGGGTGTCGCGTGGTCAGTGCAACGAATCCCCACGGCCGTTAACTTCGGTTTTCTATACCGGAGCCGTTATTTCCCTGAAGTAGCGCCTCAAGTATCCCCACGAGGCTGAGTGGACACCGTTCCAGACCCACTACTTCTCAGAAAATCTGATGTCGCCGGAAATCGAACACGGACCTCTGGATCTGTAGCCAGGAACTCTGTCCACTAGACCACAGACTACACAAGCAATAAAATACACACTAGGGGTTGACATGGTTGTCTCTGGTTTGTGTCGGATACCTGTTTCAGTTCCTTGCAAAAATTAGTACCGTAATCTGATGGATTTCAGTCTGGGAAATTTGATGTCAGTCTCTGGTTCTGACAATTGCAACTCTAGCGTAATGCGTTATGCTTATAATATGAATGTAAACATTTGCATATTTTTGCGCTCGAAATGGAAAATACTTTTCCGTGTAACGAATCCACCGAACTGAATAAACCTTTCTGCTTATGCCTAGACACGTTCCACAGAACTTTGTTTCGTTCAAGTTCGTAGAGCCCTTCGCTTTTAACCATTAAAGAAACCGGGGGTGTGGGGGGATGTATCTTCATTGTGTGGCACTGTCAATGAAAAGAAACGTTGCCTGCCCTTTTTGATATTTTAATATAACCACCCGTGGTGTCCCGGAAACTGAATTAATATGCTACCATGAAAATTTAATTCACTGCACATGTACATAATACTTCTACATAATTAATCCTGTTAGATTTAATACGCTTCAATTGGACCAGAATGAAATTCACCCTGCAGCTCTACATATACACCTACGTCAATACGGAGTGTAATGGAAACCCATTCAATATTTTCAGCGATGAAACATGCGTTTTAGACGGGCAGACACTCCGTACAGTGCGTCCACTTCATGTATTTTATGAAGCTAACTCACAGTAATATCACTGTGGTGTAAAATATGGTGCAATATAGCCTGCTACACAGGTCAATGTTTCGAAGGAGCCTACTGATTCCATATTCAGGGAAAAAATTCTGCCATGTAAATAAAGGTAGTAAGTCGTTCCAAAAGTATTTGTAAGCCTACTATCTGCCAAAATATACGGTGTCATATCCGAGAAGACCGTGATCTTAACATTTACCGCCGGGAGAACCGACTGCGCTAGCAAGGGCCAGCAGCATATACAAGAGGCAGACCCGTCCTCTCGTCAGAGAGGGCGCCCCACAAAAACAAGTGTGTATGTGACTTGGACTTTGACTTGGAGGAGACAAAGCATATTAGTCGGGAGTGAGGAGTCGAGTTTCGGGACACCAGCCTGCCGGAATATGAGCTGGGGTGCAGAGGAATTGAATCGAGCCGAGTTTCGGGACGCCAGCCCGCCGGAATATGAGCTGGGGTGCAGAGGAATTGAATTGAGTCGAGTCTTTGGAATCGGCAGTTGCAGAATAGTGGCAAGAAAGGGATTGGGCTGTGAAAAGAAGAATTCGTATGTGATCTGAAGTGAGAGTCTTATAAATCCGTTGCCAGGATACAACTAGAGAAGACTGAGAATCCTAGTACGTGTGTAAGCGGTGGATTGTAAAGTGTGTAGATCAGCGATAGCGTTGTGTTACCTGTCGTCTTGTCCTTATCCATGGATAAACGGCCTCCGTAGTCTAGAGGTAACGTTCCCACCTCATGACTCGTGGTACGCGGGTTCAAACCCGGCGGAGGTCGTGGAATTTTTAAGGGCGGAAAAATTCAGGGAACAAGTCCTCCGGGAGGGACTTTAAGCCGTGGGTCCCGTGTCGTAGCTTTACGGCACGTAAAAGAACCTCATATCTCCTAAGGAGGTCACTGACCTAATTTAAAGGACATTTCCCCCCCAACAGTAGTCTCTAACGCCTCTGATAGATGGGGGAAGCATTATAGATACCACCAAGCCAGTAGAGGCCGAACTCGCTGGCTCGGTCGGGACTGATGGTACGCACAAATCTCGGTAGGGTATAGAGACTGGTAGAATATCATAGAGGGAAGCACAATGGACCAATACTGGTCTCAGTGCATGGGGAAACCCACCCTCTCCAATAACTAACTGACTAACTAACTACCTGTAGTCCCCAAGTTGTGGATGTGTAGGGTACAATAAAGCCAATCATCCTATCCATAACCCATCTATGTGTCACCCCTACATGAGACAGTATTTAAGTATAGACTATCGGTTCGCTCGAACCAGTGTGAACCGGTTCCAGCACATCCCTTGCATAATTCGACATTTCTAATTCGTTATGAGCATTTCAATTCAAATGCATTTCTGCACAATGATCAGTTCTCGATGTGTGACAGCGAAATAGCGGTTGAGATTTTGCCCAACCCTGTTTTATTATCACGCCAGCCTGTCGTGCTGTTACTTTGTTAAGCTATTGCTGTTTCGGCAATCTTCACACATCGCTACACTCGCAACATACAGCAATATTACACGGTCTGGTGTGCAGTGAGATATTGAAGTGCATTTCCGCCTGAAAAACAGGATTTGTCAGTCAAGTTTCTGCATTAATCGCAGATTGATTCTTTAACGGATTATTTAGTTAAAACACGCGCTGTAAAAGTCATTCTGTCTCGAAACTGATAAGACATAATTTAACCTAGATTGGTAAACACATCTGCCGGTATTTCTCTGCCCACGGTATGAACGCAAGGGACTAAACAAGTTCCAGACTGTGAAGGAATGCATTGACCACAGTGCGAAAACGTTAAGCCTAAAGAATTGTCAACTGGATTTGGCCAGACTAAAACAGAGTATGAACTGTGAACAAAATAAAAGGACTAACTCCACATGCACGCGGAAGCGTAGTTGGTTGAGGCACTATGGTACAGGCCGGATGATCGCGGGTTCATTCCCTATGAGGTCATTGTGTTTATTTCAATTGACCTAATCCTTCCAGCCGCACTATGGCCCTGAGGTCGACTCAGCCTCTAACAGAAATGAGTACCAGGAATCTTGGGGATAAAGGATGCCCGGCGTGTAAGACTGACAGCCTCACCACCATCTGAGAGCGGCTTGTCTAGAAAATCTGGGGGCCTCGACGTCTCACAACCCTGTGGGCCTCCACGGCCTGTTACAGGGATAGCTTTACCTTACCTTTTTACCTCTTAACTCCACATGCTTGTTACTTGGTTGAACGTTTGTTGTCATTTGGTCCCGACAACTTTGAATGGTCGCTACATATCTTAGCGGGTTATGAAGACTGACAGTTTTGACGCTTTGAAGATGTCGTGGGCGCGACAACGGCGAATGCTCCCTGTGTAATATGCTTGTTTCGCTGTCGTTATTTCTTTAGAATCCGGGTGTTTAACTTTAAAGCCTGACTAAGCACTGGAGATTCCGCATCTGCACTCTGGCCATGGAAAGGATTTACATGAATCTTCCATCCCGCGTCCTTCCATTAATCCCCCTCCAGTGGTCTAGCCATTCTGTATACACGGATGTTGGTAATCCTGACCTGCGTTAGCGATAAGGTAAAGCTATCCCTGTGCGTAATTATTTGAGCACCACGCCATGAAGACGTCTGGCATAGCACCACCATTCTTGTCCTCGGCAGTAGATGGAGCTAATTGGTCAGCTTCACGCTCCAGGCGCTTTATCTCCTAGGACAACCTCCAATACCTATTAATAAGGAGGCTTGATGGGCCCCAGGGCCGGTTTGGACGCTGTGGGGAAGAGAAAAACCTCTTCCCTCTGCCAGAAATTGAACTCCAGCCATCCAGCCTCTAGCCCTTCACTATACCGACTGAGCTATCCCAGCTCATGCATTAGCGTTAAGCACTTCGAACTGGTTGAAATACGCCTTTGGGGTTGAAGAAGAATGAAAATAGTAGGTAGAAAAGAGGAAATCTCAAGCGCCCTCGTGCCCACCACCCGTTGGACTGCTTACCGTGACCTCATAGCTGTTTGTGTGTTTTCTAGCCATTGCAGCTTACGTTGAGCCAGCTAAATCCAGTGCATATACAGGAATTATTTTTACTTTGTGGGCTGTACCACGGCGACTGGGGCACTGCTTGCCGCAGGGCGCATACGAATTTTGCCGATGAATCAGCATGCCTGACGGCTGATAACGGTTAGAATGAAGTAGTTACAATTCACTGATCACAGGAGGTGCTCAAAATGCTGTCCCTCTACGCACATATCTTTCTCAATTTTCGTTAAAACTCAGGTCCAGCAATCAATCTTGAACTTAAAGTGCACCAGACACCAACTCTCACTGGATGGAGCGGGGCTACGTGGGTTAGATGTGTCAACAATGTTAGAAAATTCTCTGTACATTAACCACATAAAAATTTGAGTCTGAGATTGGAGGTTTTCATGGCGGTAAAGCTTCAAATTGTGGACATCTGGATTAAGACACCATTTTGTGTTGTACATATTTCAGAAGAATCTGCTGCCTCTGCCTCTGAAGTAGAAGTTCTCTGAAATGGTATCATAATCAGAAGTTCACAATAAGAAATACTAGTCTGGTCCTCTGGTAAGTTCTGCAGTGAATTCTGTCATATGTTACCGGCTTGACAATGTTACAGAGCGGAGTCTGGAAGACCACGAGGAGGTGCTGGCTGTCTACCATGACATGGAGACAAATGGGAAGCATACAGACAAGCGATTCATATTTCGCAAGGATTTCTGCAAGTATGAATTCTTCCACAGTCCACAGGTATGTTAGTTGTTGAGTGTATTAACATTCACCTTCCCCCAGTTGCTTAGTGTATAGAGCATCGAATGGGAGAATGGCAGAATCATGAAAGGATGTGAAGGAAAGCAGTGATGATCCGTTTCAAAAGTTCTATCCCAGAATTTGCATGGTAAGACTGAGGAAAGTCATGAATACCTTTACTTGAAATAGGCGACTTTCAGTGTCGAGAAATGAATCTTGAACCATCTGAATATGAGTGCTAATTACGCAACCATGTTGTTCCAAGAAGCTTGAAGTGATTACTATATTTTGAAACCTGATGGAACAAGAAATAATTTCTAAATGTGTTTATGATGAACTGCTGGTACACCTGTTAAGGTTCAGACATGATGCCATGTGAGTGTTGGTTTATCATGGTAAGGGAGATAGGGTGCAATACTGAAGATCTTTCTCATGAGCTGGACATTACATGCTCATCATTTGAATTCTTGTACATCATCGTCTATTTTTCAAAAATCCGTCCTGTGTCTTTTTCAAAAGACAACGTTTCAGAGACTGGATTCTGTCCCTGTCCTTAGGTAAAACCTACTCAGTTGGGTCCAATAAATATAGATAGGGGAGATAGGGGCTAGCTCTATCTATTGTACCCACTGAGTAGGTTTTACCTGAGGACGAGGACAGAATCCAGTCTCCAAAACGTTATGTTTTGAAAAAGAAACAGGACAGCTTTTTAAAAAAAGACAAGATGATGGATAAAGTCCAGAAACATAATACACGTACTTGTAGCAATATACCATCGTCACGAACTTTTAGATCTTATTTGAATTCTTGTAGCTTGGCATAAGTGTGTACATCCCACTATTCTCCACCTCAAGCTTGAAGTAATTAAATACCCTAAAAACGAGTTCTGTTATTAAATTACAAAGTAAGATGCTAGGGTATTTGGTCCTTCACTGTAAGGAACACTATAAGGATAGTGCAGTTCGTTTTCACAAAGGAGTTATTTAAAGTTGTGAATGCTTTGAGAGAAAGTGGACATACTGATGGTATCAAAACGTGACTGATGCTCATTGTGTCAGGTCTCACAACATGACAGTCCTCGCTTATGTGCAACTAACAGTCGCCTACTGTCTTATTTGTAGAATAGTTTACATTGAAAGGACCTCAGTATGAGCAAACAAGAATATTATGGATATGACATGACATGACATGACTCACTAGAGATTGTAAAAGAGGATAGTGGTGTAGATGAATGGGGTGATTAGTTAATTGAAAAAATAAGGGTAAAGCTGTCCCTGTAATAGTCTGTGGAGGCCCATAGGGTTGTGAGACATCAGGGCTCCACATTTTCTAGATCATCGGCTCACAGATGGTGGGGATGTTATCAGCCTTATGCACTGGCCGCCCTTTAAGCCCAGGAAGACTCATAGTAATCATTTCTGTTAGAGGTTGAATCAATTCCAGGGCCATAGTGCGACTGGAAGGATTAAATCAATTGTAAAATCTGCTAGGAATCGAATCTGTGACCTTCTGGCGTGTAGCATAGTGCCTCAGCCAAGTACATTATTATATTCCCCATGATTAGTTGATGGTGATGATAAAAATACACAGTATGTGCTTTAATAGGCATGGCTAGAGTAGTTGCCAAGCTAAATATATAAAAAAATACATTTTAAATTCTTTTAACCCGTTTGTGATGTTCACATAAATGTCAGTTTCTTTGTTACTGAACTAACTCCATGATGCAGAACTTAGAACTGATGTAATAATTACACAGCTCAAGAAATTCATTACCTTTTATGAAACATGAAGGCTTATTACTGTTTTTTCAACAGTCCATAATTGAATCCTATAATGGGTAAATTAAATCAAGTCCACACCCTCATCCCATTTCTCTAAGATCCATTTTAATATCATTTTCACATTCATTCATAGGTCTTCTGACCATTTTTTTCCAGCTAAAATTATGTATGAATTTCTTATCTTCCTCTTGCGTTCTATGTGATCCACCCATCTTATACTTCTTAATTTGGTCACCTGATATTATTTGGCATAGCACACAAATTTTATCAACATGCAGTTTTTTCTTCATCCTGCTCTTAATATGTTTACTGGAGAACAACTTTTATATAGAGATTTTGTATTTATATTATGAAGATGTCTTGAAGAAGAAACCAAACACTATGTTTATGGGTTTAATGTATGAGTAAATGTTACATTTAGGTTATGCGATTCTGGGATATGGCACCATATTTTTTTAATGCTAGTGGGGTGGGACTAAGTCCCTTGTACTGCGGCCACTTCTGGCCTATTGTACCAGCCCCAGATGGTAGGTGAGGGTGATTGTGGAGCAATTGGTGGAATGAACATTGGCAAGGGAAACCGAAGTACTTGGAGAAAACCTGCCCCAGCGCCACTTTGTCCACCACAAATCCCACTTGACCAGACCCGGGGTCGAACCCGGGCCGCCGCCATGGGAAGCCAGTGACTAACACCTTGAGCTATGGCACCATATAGTAACCAGTGTTTCAGAAAACGTGCTACCTCTATTTTGGACTAGAATATGCAGATTCTGGAAATGGAGGTGACTGGTTACTCTAAAACAAAGATTCCCACCTACCAGACTACACAGTGTCATATCCAAGAAGACCGTGGTCTTAATCTTCACTGCACTGAAAATCTCATGTGGTTGTGACATGTTCCAGCAATTCTTCCCCACTGACATGGTGGACCCATCTGCCTGTGACCAGGTACTTGAGCCAAATGCCCTACAGGTGAGACCACTCAGAGACAAGAGTCACCTTTATAACTTGAACTGCAGGTTAGCGTTGAGGAGTACATTTCGAAAGTATGATGATTTAATCCAAATTATTCATTCTGACACTAGAAAATAGTGTAGTAATGAACTGGACTAGTTCCTTTTACAAATTTCTATTTTTATATTAAAATTACAGTTGTCTGGAATATGATTCTGTGTAGATAAGTACCAATATTTCAGAGAAATGTATCAGACTATGTGTATATTGCATCATATTCAAGAAAGCTCTAATCTCAATACACTACTTACTACCACGAGAACCTCATATCTCATGTTCTGTTTCTATAGATTTATACCAGTGCTTATGAAGACCATAATGAGTGGTAAGATAATTGTGAATATCAAGGTGGGAAACTTGGGTTAAATTCTGCTGTAAATCATTAGGTTTGCGGGTGTAAAACAGATACTCCGATTATGACTCCCAACGGAATAACTAATTCAACAATTGTTCTCGAGAAGGTAACAGTATCTCAGCTACACAGTAAGTTTCCTCACTTGTATGGGATCTACATGTGCATTGCCATATCTAAAAGAGCCCATAGCTCTCACATGACTAAAATTAAAAATAGGATATATACTACCCAGTATTCTGACGTACATGGCTATAATACTATTCATAAACACAATCTGTATGTTCAATTTTGCAATACTGAGCGCTGCAAAAGAGGGGTGATTGGTATGGGAACCAAAATATTTAATGGCCTACCGACTGAACTAAAAAGTGTAAATAATTTTAATGTTTTTAAAAAGAAGCTAAAAAATTATTTGTTGTGTAACGTCTTTTATTCTCTTCAGGAATTTTTTAACAANCATCAAAAATGAAAAATATTATTGTTGGATATTTTTAAATTGAAATACTTTGGTGGTTCCCATTGACTGTTATCTGGCATGTATGGGGATCGGGGTGTGTTATATGCATCTGCTTGTTACATGAGAGAAACTCTTACAGAAACCCGGTAAAAAGTAAAACAACCTTTTTTTTAGTTCTTGTGTGGGAGTCTTTAGGTGACATAACAGATGGATGATTGAAAACACCTGGAATATATACTGTAATGAGGTCACAGATACAACTAGTCTATGCTGTAATGTCACATGTATAAGGAAGGACAATGGGCAGTGCTACTAGTGGTGGCCGGACACTGTATGTCATGGCAAATTCTTGAAATAAAGTATAGATTTTTTCTGGAATTTTTGTAGGTTGCATGAGAATTCCAGATGCTTGGATGCCAGATAACCAGGACTTTACTGCAGTTGGTTCCTTAGTAAAAATACAAAACAAAGAGTTCCCTGTTTTGGCCCTGTGACTGCAATAAATAATTTGTTATCAAACAGTTTTATGAAACCTATACTCATCACTTGGGATTACTGAGGTTATGGACCTTATCCATCATCCAGTAATCTAAAGAACACACCATTTCCGAAACTGGATCTGTTCTTGTCCTCAGGCAAAAAAGGGAAGGCCCCTTCTTTGTTGGGTCCATTGAAAAGAGCAAATGGGGACCACCAGACAGTCTGTGTCAGTGTAACTACAATTATAGATGCACCCGAGGTTTTGTTGATTGAAGATAATAGGAAAGTTTACAAAAATTGGATTCTGGAATTAAAATCATATATGTATCCATGAGGATTCTTGTCAAATCATACTGAACTTCCCTTTAAGTTCCTAGTTTCGGTGACAAGGAGAATCCATATGGGAAAATTTTCCAAAATTGTTGGCTGATCAGATGTATTAAATATGCCATATGCTCCAATTCTGTATATTTCCTATACCTGTTGTTACTTTCAGTTTCCAAAATCCTGGCTTCATCCCACCCTACTTTGTGACCTTCCTCACAGACGTGTTGGGCCAGTTTTGATTTTTCTAGAAGACCCTCCCTGAGATTGTGCTTGTGTTCACGAAGCCGCAGGGCTAGCAGTCTGCCTATTTCACCAGTGTAGCTTCTGCCACATTGACAAGAAATGCTACAGATGCAGTGTGCCATCTGTTGCAGATCTCCTTCGGCCTTGTTCTCATGAGAAAACTCCTAAGGGTGTGTTTAGTTTTCAGGACTGTCCTAATGTTGTAATGAATCCCTAATCGCATAAGGAATTGTTGCAACATTTTATTTATTTATAGTATCTGCTGCCTTACAGTGAAGTCATATATTGAATTTAGGGTTTGGATTAAAGTGCCCAAATGTTCTGTAGAGCAGACTTCTGAATTTGTGAACCTTGTCAGTTCCTCCATTTATATGACTGAAACAGTGGATATAATCTTGATACCTTGATTAGAGTGATATTTCTTACCTGATAGTTGTGATGTTGCAGGTGTTGGTGACATCAGCAGACGAGTGTCCTGTGATCGGGAGCCAGATGTGGGTGCGAGAGGCCAACAAGCAGGTGTGGAGCAAGGTGTTCATGCTGCTGAGGGATGCAACCCTTTACGTCTCTCACAAGGTATATATGCTGACAGATATACAGAACCGGGATGAACTTTGCTGTGTTGAACCTGGTGTCTCTGCACACTTGTAATCCCATCCACTGCCTGCAATCATAACGTTACATTTTGTTGTAGTTCATGTTTCATTGTTTCTTCTGCACCGGTACATGCAGTCATGCATTAGCTGGTCTATGTTCTAGATATCATCAGATGCTTTTGTTGACTTTTCCAAGGTCCATAAATTGTTGTCTTTTTTAAAAATGGCTGAAACATAGAGATTGTACAAGCTGCACATGTCTGAGTAAGACTAATGGTTATGGTTCTCATGGTAGTGAAAGAAGGATAGTGTCTTCTAGAATGTGATGCAGTGTAGTCTAAGTTAGCAATATTTTGGAGGAAAATTCTGCCCCATCCCTCCTCCTACTCTGAAGATAAAAGCAGAATATTCCTCCAAAATGTTGGTAATTTTCTACCAGACTACATCCCAGGAGATAGTAATCTTCAAATCGTTGGCTCTGAATGTTTTAAGGACTCATGTTGTGGCACTCCAGTTAGGAAAAGTAGTTCAGTCTGTATGACCACAAATACATGTATTCCAGTGCCTTTAATATTGCACCTGTAGTGGGGACTATATATAATACTTTTGCATCATAATTCGGCGTATGTCTCCTACAAACATAAGGACCAAGTGGAAGTTATCCCTCCCATGTCAGTACTCAGTTTTCTACAAATTTGTAGGATTCAAAGGGGAAGCAAAGAGTTCTGAACAATAATCAGTTACCTGCTTGAACAATGGGAGCAATCTTTACTGTACTTTATGATCAAATCAAGATTTGACTAATTGGTAAAAAAAAGAGCAATGACAGCCCTTGCATAAACAGTTACAAATAATAATTTAACCATATTGTGTTTAGGTTTTCAAAAAAATCATTAATTTTCATTGTTATGCAACTTTCTCTTTCTTATCATCTGTATTATTCAACTGTAATATTCATTTGTATAAATGAATTACCAATGAAGGTTTATGATAATCCATAGACACATGAAAATCTTCTGGAGAGGAGACAGAGTATGGGTATTTTAGAAGTTCTGAAGAGGTGCATAATATGAAGGGTTAAGAACCATTGATGCAAAATAACCTTTAGTTTGAATTGGTTAGCCTTTGAGATTACGAACTGTGTTCCTTAGATTATGAGCCTCTGGATGACTCTTATGTAGTTTAGTAGGTAGTTACCAACTTTTCAGAGAAACCTGTTGGTTCCATCTTCTGTGATGGCAGTTGGAGGCAGCAAGTTCCTTTGGAACATTAGTAACCACTTGCTATACTACACCTTAAGATGGAAGCAGCAGGTGCCTCAGAAACATTGATAACCACCCACCAAACAACAGGGTAACATAACCCAGAGACCACGATCTATATTTCCGCCACTGTGAGGGCATCAAATCCAAGCACTGTTATACTGGGGAAAAAATATCTAACATTTCAGAGGGAAATAACTGCATCCATCTTCAAGATACAGGTGAAGAAGGCAAGTACGTTAATGTAAACAGCATAGTGGTTACCATTCATAAGCACAGGATCTATCTAGATCTGTGACTTGCCTGTTTTCAGCAAGTGGGTTTACTAATACAATCCTACTTGTAAACAAGACAGTTACCCACTACAGGTATCAAAATAACAGTTTCTACCTGGAGGCTGTAAACATTGTAAACACCTAGATTACATGGTGTCATAAACCACAAGACCAGAATTCAGATATTCATCACTGTAAAAATAGCACTGACTTCTTCTTGGAATGTTATGAAATATTTAGCCTTCCTTCCTGATGGAAAACAAACTGGGAAGTGTACTTTTCGTTTCTTGGACTATTTAACACTGCTTTCTGAGCTGCACCAATTATGTACCTCAGAGTGAGGATGACTATAAAAATTAATTAATTAAGGATATTTAAAGAAATAATCATAACATGTTTTAAGGTACTGCCCAGTGTTTGAAGGGACTCAGTTAAACCAATAAGGCAAGCTGAGGACTGACCCTAGAACTGACTTTGGAATAATTTAAATATAAAGATTTCATGCTAACCATTCAGCTGTATCAATGTACTATTATGCTGTAGCACAAATAGAGGTAAAGTTGTATCCATGCGAAAGCATCATGAAGAAACACATGGAACATGGAATTATAGTTCCACATAATCAAAACCTTGGCAGTTGAGGGACATGAATGGTCAAGTGCACAACTTTAGCAAGCATTTTGTGAAGAAGTGAAAGATAACACTAGAGGATGAAGTCATGTAATTTTCACCATCTTAACTCTGTTGTGGCACACTGATTATATACATATTGTGTGCCTTAACATTAAAAGTTCCTACATTCTGGCAACACATTGTATTTATGTATTTCATGAGACTTTCAGAACAAACTCTTATTATTTCCCTTAACAGCACTAACTGCTAGGTCTCTGTAATAGAGATGCAGAATGTTTAATGTGAGGCAGGAACTAAATTTGTAATTAATATTTTGATGTTAAAGCTGAAATCTGTGCAAGTCAACTAGGGAAGAAATTGCATTACACCCAACTGTTTAGGATATATAAAATTAGAATCTACAGGAATGTGATAATAGATATGAGTATGCTACACACAAATTTAAAATAAGTAGAAGGAAAAATTAAGAAAGAGAATAAAAACTGAAAAAAATATAATTTAAAGGTAGCTAAATTTTAAAGATAGAATAACAGAATAAGATGATATGGGCACATCTGTGGAATGAATGAAGAGATAATCACAAAGGAAGTTTCAAATTTGAAAATAAAAGGAGAAAGCCCAAGAGGAAGACCAAGATCCAGATGGAAACAGTAGGTTAAGAAAGCTGTCATTCAGATGGAAGGAAGGAAGGAAGAAAGAACAAATCAGGAATTGGGAGGAGGGGCTTTGTGAGACAGCGATAGAGGGAGGGGCATGGTTGTTCGACACAAACTTAGAAGTGAAAATGTCAAAAAAAGGAAGAGGAAGGATATTTTATACTTAATACATCATTAATTAAATGTTCCTTAACTTGTTTTCACTTCAGTAATATAACATGCTGTGTAATCCTCTGTACCTTGTTAATAGTGCAGGAATGTCAAGACAACCAGAAACATGTAGATCTTGTATCAGTTGGTTATAACTTGAGACTTCATTTTAACTTATTATCAGGCATACATAAAGATACTTGTAGACTTATCATATACATGTATATCATACCTAGCCTTGTAAGACTTTTGGTGTTATTTGTAGATCACAAGTAGGCATGTTGATTCTTTATTATTTTTCTTCAGCAAACTATATTGGCAAGACAAGCTAATTTTTTGTTCTGGACCATGAAAATTTTGTATGTCTATACACATTTAAAAATGTTCGATTATTTTTAATTTAAACTAACAAACAACTTTAATAGTAATATAACAAAAATTTATTTTGAAATGTTGTTACAGTAATATGTGCATTTCAGATGGCTTGTAGGGAATGTGTCATCATATTGTAAAAAATTGTGTCTTCAGATATTAAATAAATTCTATCTTGTGCACACAGGAAAATATCAAATTTACTATTCTTGTTTAACTTTTAATCCATTTCATACTGTTTCTTCTCACATAATTCTGTGCACAGTGGCCTAAATCAGAAATGGTATCATGTTTCAGGTGCAAGTGGTGTCAAAGCTGCTGAGGAAGATGCCAAACAAGGTACTGTGACATGCCACTTATGATTGACTGGGAATGAGTTCAATAAACTATGCTTATGATGTTTGTCTTATATTTACTGATACATATATCCCAATGACTAAAATAAGTCTGGGATTATGTTTAAAACATTTTTCATATGTTCTTGTTGAACACACTGCGCACAGTTTGAGATATTTTGCGCAATGAAATAAACAGGACAGTTTTGAGATACATGGTTAGGCACCATTTTGTTTCTTATTATTTTAAGCCAGTTGAATGAATGAAAGATCTTGGGGATCTGAAGTCTTGTTTCTGGTTCTGTTGGTTTCCCATCGCTTGTTGGGTAATTAGGGACATAAGAGAGAAATAAGTTTCTTGTGGTATTCTTCACATTCCTAAAGATTTATCTTTTTTGGTAGAGGCGAAAGGTTCAGCCTATGAGCAGACATCTGACTAGGGATCAGGGTTGAAACCCTCCAAAAGAAAGTCCAGTGTCATACTCCGACACACTCCAGGTTCCACTTTCTTCTCTGCTTAGCGCAGTGGTTAAGAGTGTCATGTATGAAGTGCGTGTGTTTATCCATGAAAATTCAGAACCGAGGCTTTCTGTACAGTTTCCAGAATGCATTATTTTAGTACCAATTTGGCTTCACAGATTAACTCTAATATAAATTGTCACTTCTAGGAGGGACTATTGAATAGATACTCTTATTGAAGTTGTAGTTAAACCGTTTAAAGCACAGTGGTCATCGCATGTATCACCTACTTTAACGTTCAGGAACTTTACCTTTTACCCGAAGAGCATATGTGATATGATCCTCAGAATAAACAGCCATTATTTCCCCAAGGAACATTAACTGGTTGGTCTTTGTCATGGAGATATAGTGTGTTCTCTATGAAACAGGTACTTAATTTATGTACAGTATGTATTATTTAGGTGATGTTGAGGTTTCAAAGGATTAATCAGTTACTGTACAGGTTACCAGATATCCAGCATTTGTCATTGCAGTCTTGATTTCTCATTAGATGATCCATGTTTCAACAACCATATTTTTGACAAATCTGTGATTAGAGATTTGACAGTTTTATGAAAACTGTGGCAAACAATTGTTAGACTGTTAAGAAATATTTTTTGGAATTGGAGAAGTTCAGAGAAGATTTTAGGAATTATGTGTGGCATTTTCACACTGGATTTAGTGGTTATATCAAACACTGCAAGTGAGTGTTGAGCATTCCTGTTTTCTTTTCAGTAGGCCTAAGCTCAGATCTTGGCTAGGAGAACTGGGTGTTCTGACAGGGTATCCTTGAGGTTCTTGTCAGCTCATCCAGGCAGATGCTAAGATATTACCTCAAATTAGGCAATGACAACGTCTCATCAACATCCCTTCTTCCAATTCATTATTCAGTAATCATACTGTCATTCCACACTGCATAATCTGAGCAACTAAAAGCATCAGATAAATGAAGAATAAATTAATAAACCACTGTGATCCTGCTTCATGAATTAGGTAAAGACATTTCCTTTACAGTAAGTGAACAGATTTCATCCTCACAGCTGTCTTTTGAGCCATAGTTACTCATATACTCATATACTCGTAGTAACGGTGGAAGACTGAAACTGAGGGTGCTAGAACATTCCAGGATGGGTGTCTGTGTTAGAAAGAATGCTGAATAATGGAAAATTTAATGAGGATTTAAGGCACTGCAAGGCCATCTGTTGCACAGGTCTGCAAACAAAGGTGTGCTGGTGGTGAGTGTAGTCTTTATCAGCTTCAAGATAGGATGTTACAACAACTTATTCACACCTGTTTCGTAACTATGCTTTGTGGAAAAGAACAAAGCAAGCTGTGCCCTTAAAGTGGATTGCAGCGGTATACTCTATAGTTTACTGAGCAAGTTCACTTAAATGCGTATAATACTTCGGATCTGTATTCTGGAGGTGTGTGTTTCAGTTTTGACCATGACATTGACTATATTGATATATTTTTGTTGTTGTATTCCTCAGTCCCTCTAGACAAATACCAGGATAGTTTCCCAGAACCCAAAGGTTCATTACGGTGTTCTCAAGAGCCCTCCATTGGTCTCTATCCTGAGCCCGATCGATCCAGTCCACACCACCCCATCCACTCTCTCTAAGATCCATTTTAATATTATCCACCCACCTATATCTTAGTCTTCCTAATGGTCTCTTTCCTTCTGGCTTTCAACAATATCCTATATGCTTTCTCTTCTCCCTCATTCGTGCTACATGCCCTGCCCATCTCATCCTCTGTGACTTCATCATTCTAATTATACTTGGAGAAGAGTACAAGTTATGAAGCTCCTCATTATGCAGTTTTCTCAAACCTCCTGTCACTTCATCCCTCTTCGGCCCAAACATTCTCTTCAACACCCTGTTCTCAAACACAATCTGTGTACCACCCTTAAAGTCAGAAACCAAGTTTCACTCCCATACAGAACCACAGCAAGATTATAGTTTTGTATATTCTAATTTTTATGTTTTTGGACAACAGACGAGAAGACAAAAGGTTCTGGACTGAATGGTAGCAAGCATTATCCGAGTTCAATCGCCTCTTAATTTCCTCCTGAATCAGGTTATCTGTTATCGTTGTTCCCAAATATCTGAACTGTGCCACATTTTCAAAATTTCTGTTTCCTATCTTCATGTCATGATTTTGCCCTGCATTCTGGTGACGAGACAGCAACATATACTTAGTTCTCTCTGTGCTTACTTCTAGACCAACCTCTTTACTTGCGTCAGTTAAAGTCTGTGTGTTTTTCTTTATGGTATCTACATTATCACCCAGTAGATTCACATCATCGGCATAGACCAACAGCTGATGTGTCCCATTTAATTTCCGACCCACCTGATTTTCATGGACCTTCATAATGGCATATTCCAAAGCAAAGTTGAAAAGTAATGGCGATAAAGCATCTCCTTGTCTTAGACCATTTTGGATAGGAGAGTTATAAGACAAATGTTTGCCTGTACGGACTTTAAGTTTCATTTAAACACATTTTAATGGGGCTAACCAGTTTCATGGGTACATCAAAACTCTATGAGAATATTGTTCAATAATGTACAGTAGTACCTTACAGCTCAAGCGGTTAGTCGCTGGCTTCCCACCGCGGCGGCCGGGTTCGATCCCGGGTCTGATCAAGTGGGATTTGTGGTGGACAAAGTGGCGCTGGGGCAGGTTCTATCAAAGGTACTTCGATTTCCCCTGCCAATCTTCATTTCAGCAATTGCTCCACAATCACCCTCACCTATCATCTGGGGCTGGTACAATAGGCCAGAAGTGGCTGCAGTACAAGGGACTTAGTCCCACCCCACTAGCAATAAAAAAAAACATTAAGGCCACAATCACTGCCTTCCACATTTTTCCTAATTAATCATTAACTAAGCACTCTGTCATTCAGCTGTATAGTCTGAGACACTAACAGCTTTCATAAATAAGCTAGTAAATATGATGAGGGTGGCATTCCAGATGGCCAGTATTTACAGATCATTGTTCACAGCGGTGATCCACTGTTCTATGACACAGGCTTGTGGCTGTATGGTCTGGGAATGTTGATTCATATAAAGGTGTCTTTGTAACAGACCATGGAGGCCTTTAGGGTTGTGAGACGTTTAGGGTCCCACATTATCTAGACAATAGGTAGTTAGGTTGTCATCCTCACGCTTCTGCCGCCCTTTACCCCCAGGGAAGATTCCTGGTACTCATTTTTGTTAGAGGCTGAGTCGACACCAGGGCCATAGTGTAGCTGGAAGAATTAGGTAAATCCACCTCATCGGGACTCGAACCCCGCGACCTTCCTTCTCGTAATATAGTGCCTCAACCAACTACGCTACCGCGTGCCCCCCCCTTTTTATTCGTGGCTTGATTCCACTTGACACGTCAGCCACCAGTGGCTCTGTTGTGCCAGCTGTGGCTGCTGATAAATGAGTATGGAGCAATAAGTAGGAAGTACTCGGAGATACCCTGCTCCAGTTCCATCTGTCCACTTCAAATCCGACCTGACAGCATCTTGTATCGAACCCTGGCGCCGCAATGGGAAGCCGGCGACTGACCGCCTGAGCTACGGAACGGCCTTGATTATTAGTATAATTGAAAGTCGCTGGCTTCCCACCGCGGCCTCCCGGGTGTGGTCAAGTGGGATTTGTGGTGGACAAAGTGGCGTTGGGGCAGGTTTCCTCCGAGTACTTCCGTTTCCCCTGCCAATCTTGATTCCACCAATTGCTCCACAATCACCCTCACCTATCATCTGGGGCTCGTACAATAGGCCAGAAGTGGCCGCAGTCCCACCTCGCTGTAGCTAATTAAGCATCATTATCAGTAGCCTGTTGTGCGCAATCATTCAGAGGATGAACAGCTGATCGTTCCAAATGACTAGGCATAGCAGGAGATCAAGGCAAACAGTGAAAATATCCCATTGATGTGATTAAAAGGCTTTAAAGCAAGGCGACTACTGTAAGAAACACATGCTGTAACATCAGAGAACTCTTACTAACATCCTTATAAATAAAGAGTTTTCTGGGTTTGTAACGCCGATGTGTAGTGCGGAGAGAGCCCAATGTTTCCGTTTTCAAGGCCGTTAAGTAAGCTAAACAAAACCCATTAGAAACGGGCATCAAGTTGAGCTTGTTTGGCTTACTCGTCGACTCTGAAAATGCATGCGATATGTTCCTCCGAAACGTCGGGCTGTCTCAGGTGGAGCCCAGCAGATCATACTCTTCATACTCACCACAGTGAGAACTGAAGAATCAACAGCGATGATGATGATGATGATGATGATGATAATAATAATAATAATAATAATAATAATAATAGTAACTTCTGGCGGCTAATGTACCTTTAACAAGTGTGGCAGAATACAAACATTCAAGAAGGATAGTAATAAATAAATCGAAACTGTATTCACGAGGATGTCATCAACAGATTAAATTCGCGTAATTGCTGCAAAAATTCGGTTCAGAATTTATCTTGTCCTCCCCTCTCCAACCTAAAACAAAACACAAA